TAATTCCCCTAGCCAGCATCCTTTTCCTAATGGCTGTGCACACCTGTGCAATTATTGAGTGCTGGCCACTGCTAAAGCCTGGATCAAGGACTGGGGATCTCATCTTCCCTCCTGAATCACCTTGAAACCTCCTAGTTCCAGAATCCCAAGCATAATCCCGACCAACCTTTGCTTCCTGACACGTCTCAGCCCATCTGGCTGAGAGTCCCAGGTGATCATAACACCCAATTCTACAGTGGGATTGCCACACAATACCACAAAGGGCACAAATGAATGAGAACACTCTCTTCCAAGAATTCAGTCTTCACATTTGCTTCATAAAAGGTCCATACCATGTACCTTTTGGGACCTGCCATCATTTACTCCTCCACAAGGGTAATGCTAAGTCCATGTTTACCATAAGAGACTTGAGAGACTGCGCAAAGACACAAATACCGCTAGTCATAAAGTGGTGCTGGTTTTTTTCTGTGCCTAACTACTGCTTAGTACTTATGCTATAGGTAAGAGGGGTGCTGTGAACTGCAATGGGACTCACCTGAGAACAGTAATATATAGCCTGCACCTCTTCCTATACAGACTCTTCACTGGACAACTGTACCATACAACATTAACCACTAGACATCTGCAACATTTCCCTATGTTGGGAGAACCTTAAAGAGGAACTTTACCCTATCTTTGGAATTACAACAAATACTAGGGATGTCCTGATACTGGTACTAGTACTTGTACTCGGGAAAATGCCCTGATACACAGCGCCCATACACATGGCGTCGCTTTACATTTTTAAATCGGTTTGTGCTGTTTATTTAGTACAAGTGATCCTCCCAGATCACTTGTATAGCAGCATGCTCGTCTATCCCCCCTGCTCCTCCACTTCATGGCCCGCCCCCTCCCTGCTGTCGTTTTCAGGCCCCCACGCTCTTCTGGGGGACTCGGGACCATGGCAAAGCAGTTCAGATGCAGGGAGCAGAGCGGAGAATGGACAGCTTCCTGTGTCAGCTGTCACAACAGAGCTGTACAGAAGATAGAGCTGTGTTCTATCTTCTGTAATGTATAAAGAGAGCCTGTCACTTCCGAATGAGATCACATAGGAACTTGTTATCCCCTGTGTGATATCAATAAAGTAAAATGGAAAAAAATACAAAAAAGTGATAAAGTACAAAATAATAAAATAAAAATAAAAAAATGTGATAAAAAGGTAAAAAAGGTAAAAGAATTATTGCTTGCTGATTAAACATTTGAGATATATAGAAGTATTTGAGCATAGAAACTGTAATGACATGACGTGCTGATCTTACTGGAGGAACACAGTGGAAATCCATTCATGTCTTTATGTTCCTTTTTACATTTACAACTATTATTATTATTATTAAGATTTTTTACATCTTTCTTCAATGGAAAAGTGGGGGCTGATAGTGGGAGAACAATGCATTTAAAGGACAGCAACTTGACAGCAATCACTTGCATTCATTCATTTCTGTGCAACATATCTAAAAGGGCTTAAATTAACAAAAGGAATGCATGGGGTCTGTTCCGCAGATATAATTTTTTTCCCGTTTGTATTAAATTGGTTGTACCGTACAGTAAAAGTAATACTTTGCTGCACACAGTCATAGCTCATATGACCCCATACCTATAACAAATGCATAGTTTCTGCTAACTGGCTCTTTTCACTTGGAGTATTTCTATAAATAGATTACCTCTGAATGCAGTAAAACTGAAATGAATTTACATTTTAATCAGAGTTCTACTAAAAGAGTGAGACGCACTTTTTTAGTCTATGTGGGATCATTTCTAATTTGTTTGTGTGAACACGTTTATAAGGTGAGAAGCTGTAATGACTGTGTGCGGCAATTATAGCTGGGTATTTTTATATACTCCTGCTGCTGTTATATCTAGGTGCAAGTTGAGGAAAGAGACTTCTCTGAAAGATGGGACAGGAACGAATCCTGCAATGTCCAATGTAATTCATAGTGTCTAGACTTCTCACTAATGAATGACTAAACCTTGCATGCATCCAGTGACTTACTATATCCCTACTGTACGTTTTATTAATAGAAAGGCAGCATCTTTTAAAGTCAAAGGATTGTTAAAAATTAAAGAGAACCTGTCAGAGGAGAATTATACAAGCTACTTTTTCTGACTTTTCACATTGCAGAGCTTTGCACCCTATGGGACATTTACCAATGCAAAAACAATATACAGTTCAGTGAGGAGCCAGTCTTTTTTTGTAGCTTAAAGGGCAACAATAAAAACAAGGCTTGAGGGTTGCCTTAATACTCATGTTTAGTTTACTTATTTGTATTGAGATTGGGGAGTGAGCTTGGAGCGGTGGCTACTTTACAACACACACAGGGACCATGGGGAATGAAAGTAGCCACCTTTCAGAAGGAAGGACAGTGTCAACATGAATTCAAAGATGATTTGAGGATCTACAGCCAAGATTTTTGTTAATAGTTAAGGTATTTGAATGCATTTTTTATATTTAACTCCTGAGTTTAGTGTCACTGTAAGTAAGCACTGTCTAAGGAAATGATTGGAGTCATTGGGGGTGATTTACTAACCTAAACAGGTGCGTATGATTTTCACACAGCAAAACGTATTTATCAACCAAAAAGTCTCTAAAAGCATATTTCCACTAATGCCATATATGGAAAAATCATGCACATGATGCATATATAATGCTGCTTCACAGTTTAGACAAAAATGGTTAGCTCATGCATTTACATTCCTGCATTCATCAACGCAAGCAACACAACATAGAGCTAATTTACACAACATCACCTTGCAATTCATGCAAGGCTTTGCACAACACACCTGCTGGGTGTGTACACACTACAAAGGTGTTTAGATTCCATCCATAGATCATGCTGGGAGGGAATACACAACAGAGGTGTATACATGTTTGTGGTGTGTTTATAAGGTTAGTAAATCAACCCCATTGTGTTGTTACTGTAGTGTTGTCAGGGGTCCATTAGTACATTTTTAATAGCTTTGGTATTTGGCATTGCCATAACACAATGGACCTGGTGTTCCAGCCGTTATTGATGTGAATTGGTTATGTGAAATACATTTTAATTTATAACCACAAGAACCCAAAGGGTAAAGTTTACTTATGTAAATGTGATAAAATGTCATTACATAGAACATAACAAGCAGCCCGGGTATTTTTTCAGTTGGCAGTCTATTGAACAGTAGTCCTCTATTGCTGATGGTATTCTGCATTGTGGTGTAATGTATTGCTGTGATTTATAGTCTTCTATAGTTGATGCCATTCTGCATTGCTGTATAATGATATGCTGGGATTTGTAGTCCTCTATAGCTGATGGAATTATTCTTCAGTGGCAGAGCTACCATGGACTCAGAGGTTGCAGCTATGACCAGGTCCTGGTTTTCCACCAATGTCTTAAAATTATTAGTCTGTATTGGGTTTTTTTTTACAAATTCTTTTTATTTAATTATGAAAAGACCAAACATAGGCACAATACACACAGCTGTGAGGTTACAAAATCTCACAGCAATAATAAACAGCCCCTTACAATGTTACTAAAAAAAAAAAACAGTTCACAGATCTAGAACCCCCCTCCTAGAGATTGTATCCCCCCAAACCCAACCATTTTTACTCAGGACATAACCATAAATTTACAGGTTTGTAGACTACCAAAATGGATGGATCAAATGGTGGATCAAGTCAGCTTGCAGGGGGCATAGACCATCTCAAACTAGCAGGAGACATTTATGGTCTAAATCAAGACCATGACTCTGTCCGGGTAAATTACGTTAGAGCAAGGGCGAGCCCCTCAAGCCGCAGTGTCAGCCGACTCCAACCAACAACACCATACCTTACGGAACTTATTGGGGCAGCCCCTTCACAAATATGCCGCCTTATAGAGGCATAAATACGAATTAACAAAGCCTTTCCAATCAGGTAGGCTCGGAGGGTCGCTCTGTCTCCACCACAAGATCACCAATTTTCTTGCACAGAAGAACAAGATACCAAGAAGCGTCCACAGAGCAGTCGTGTTAGCAAGTGACTCAGTCAGTCCAAGAATGCATGTATCAATCTGGGGTAGTCTGTATTGTTTAAGAAAAACTGTCACATGACACTAAAAAAAAAGGTATCAGCAATTTGTATTGGTGAGTACTTGAGGAAAAGTGTCAGTACTCATACTCAGCCTAGAAAAAAATGGCATTGGTGCATCCCTACTCCCATCCATGCCTGTACCGAGGTACCAACATGTAGTAATATGTACGGGAGGCAGAGTTAATAGACTACAGGTGTGGTGCATAGACAGCCGTCTGAGGGCACTGGGGAAGGGCGCAAAAATGCACCTTTGCCTGTGTAGGCAAAAATCCTTGCCTCGGCCCTGACAGTGATGACCAGGTTATCTGTTAAATACCTTGGGTAGATGCATAGAGATTAAAGCTCCTGTGTCTATATGTTACCCACTGGTGGGAATGTGGGTCACAAATAGCAATATAGACCTTTTTTTCTATTTTTTTGGTGTTGTAAGATAAGTAAAAACTTTTTCAGCACATGAAGATCTGAATTCATAAAAAATGTACATGGGTGAATTTTTGCCAGGCAGAAGGGTGCCTACCAGGGCCCCATGTATAGCCTACTTTAATGTTAGTACCTAAGAATGAAAACTGTATATTTAATAAGGGCCAATATTCTTACTGAGGTCCTTGTTTTCTCATCCAAAGACAGAAGACTATTAGTAATCAAACCTTGTAGCCTATATAACTAACAATAAACTGATTTTTGTTTTAGTAGTGTGAAAATAAGGCAAATGAAGAAATTGTAGGACCAATTTCTTACATAAAGTAGCTGTTGATACTAAGATAACTGTTTTCCAGCACAGAATGAGTTCAGAACTACATACTGCAGATCTCACGTTCAAGATTTGTTATCAAAATATTGTTTATGTTTCACTACATTGAAAGTGACAACAAGAGTGATAACATATCCTTCATTATTATATTTATTTTCATTTCAGGAACTTGGGTTACATTTGGAGGCCAAATTTCTGATGAGGTAAGTTATAGTTGTATATCCTACAATTTACATTTTAGATCAATAACGGAACAGAAAGTGGGATTTATGAATTGCAAAGAATGCAAAGGGTGTGTTATCACATTATAGGGAATTCACTTCCAGCGAAAACTTCCAATATACAAAATATAAACAAACAAGATATAAATATGTGTATAACTTTCATTCATTTTACAAATATGGACACACACATTTAAAACAATCTAAAAAACTAACACCTGCACAGTATCTAAAAAAACACATAATTACATCTATATTGCATATAGGTATTTATCCAATTGTCCATCCTTAATCATATATCCGTCTTGTATACGTGTTATTATATATTATGTTATCACAGTAACCCATATGTCAATACTGTTGGCTTACAGGTATATGGTTTGGCTGGTCATCAAACCCCCAGAATATATTCAGAATCCAATAAACCTAGCAGCATGTTTTTGGATTGTGGGAGGGAAACTCACACAAGCACAGGGAGAACATGCAAACATCATGCAGATAGTGTTGTGATTGGGAACCATTTTAAATCAAGGCCCCCCTTTTTCTGCAAGTTACAAGTGCTAACCATTACACCACTGTTCTGCCCTTAATAAATTATTATTAACCTTAATAAGTTAATAACTTTATTTACATAATAAGTGCTTCTCCCATGGTCATTTGTGCATTTTAAGATCTAATGAAATTGATGCAAATAGAATATTCTTTGCACACTGGGTAGTTAATTTTCTGTTAAATATTTAAGTAGGAATTTGGCATAGGGTCAAGGTAAAACATCAATCCAAGGTCTAATTTATCATTGTTGTTGTTGTAGTTCAGTGTTTCTTTTTTTTTTCTTGGTTAATAGGGTAGTTTGTCATTACTAAGAGGCAGTGTTTGTATATTAATATGAAGTAATGCTGGTGCTAGTGAAGGATTGTCATCAGTACCAGATGTCTTACTCACATAGGCTTCAATGTAACAACTTTTCAATATACTCTTATAGTTTTTCTATAATTATGAGCATATGATGTTGGAGGGCTTAGTACAATGTAAGGGAGAAATTGATTTTAAAGGATTTCCATCATGGTATTGATGTATACATTAGTACTAGACATCTTAATTGTCTACAACCATTGCGTGTTACTGCCTTATAAAGCTCTAATTTGAAACACTTTATTGTGTAGGGTGTAGATGTTACTGCTTCTACTAATGTCAATGTAGAGATTAAGCTCAATCCTAGAAGTTTGATCAACAAATAATGGCATCAATAGTTTGAAATTGGAACAGTCTTTAAAAAACCGAGATGCAAGACACTGAACATAATCAAAAAGTGAAGGTTAGCTACCTGATAGAAAGCGGTTAACTTTGCCTAAGCAGTACTCTAAAGAAATTAGGGGGAATTTATAAAAGCAGATGCGACAGTTTTAGCCTCTTAGATCATTTTTTTTAATGTGCAAATCTGTCTTTTAACATGTGCCCCTGTTTTGACCAGAGCTTGCACTACTTTTCCAACTGCACGTGTTTTGCACCTGTTTTGACCAGAGATAACTTCCCCCCCATTATGTTTTGCATCCTAAAAAACAGTTGTGCTCTTCCTGGTATAAGACTGTGCCTAGGTACTCCTGTTCTGTAGCCTGATAGATTTATACAGTATCTGCAGTGTGTGATCACCTAAAGTTGGGTACAGCCTCGCTGTAGGGTGGAGCCTCGCTGCAGCTGGGAACGATCCAGACAATATTGTCAGGATCCACCCCGCTGCCTGATTAACAGCTTGCTCTGCCTCTCCAGAGCCAGAGCCAGCTGTGCCCGCCTCCTCCCCTGTCTGTCCCTAGGGGGGTAGTGACTGACAGGCACCGATTTCTGATGAGCTGAGTAATCAGAGGTTTGTGATTGCTCATTTTTTAAGCTATAGAGCCGGCATGTGACAGGTGCTGTGTCACATTGCGGCTCAAACTATTTGGAAGAGTACATCTTACTCTCCCAATAGTTCACCTTCAATGAGGTCATATCAAATATCGTTTTTAACTTTAGTGTTGGAGAAAAATCAAAGGATGGAAATTTTTTCTCAAATGAACAAGATTGTAACAGCGAATGTGGTTTTCATTCCTGTAGCTAAACCTGAGATCTTGCAGTGCAAGCATCTCCCTGCTTCTTTGGATTTGTGCTTTCTGCACCTCTCCTGGTGCTTCTTTAATATATTTCCCCACCATCCAACAGATCACTAGTCATCAGGGGGGACAGCTCTGACATAAGATCATAATAAAAAGCCCTGCTCCACTACCAAGATGGCCACCTCCAAACATAGACACATTGCAGAATGAGACATGATAAATCAATAATGAGAAGAGAAGATCAGCTCCAGAAAGCCTACAAGTGATACTGGTAGCTAGTCTTTTGCCCATTGCTTGCCTTTTTTCTTGGACACAGCTCACATAGTACAGGTCCTCTTTAATTATTATTGTTTGTTGATAATATTACACCTTGGAAAATATCTTAGAAGCACAATCCTGTAAATAAATGTTGGTTTCAGCATTACTGCTTGTTTTAGCAGCTAAAATACAGTTCTTTGTGATCACAATTTCACAACTCAAAGTGGGCTCGAGGCAAACGTATCACATGATTCTTCCAAACAAGCTTCCAGATGTTGTTTATGTCAGTAGAATCTATAGAGGGATGTACTTTAATGGCTTGTCTTGTCAGGGACTTGTTGCAAGCAGAAAGTGACAAGTGCTTTGCCAACCCTGGGAAGCAATCATATTTCCTCAGCATCAGTCATTCATCCTCTCATAAACATTTATTGCTTGTGTCAATCTTCAGGTCACCACTCATTGCTCCCCAAAGACCATATGCACAATCAGTTTAAATATGATATGTCTATATATATAGATGGATGAGCAACAACATTTTGAAATGTTTTACATAATTGAATTTGATGGTAAATGTATTCTTTATACACGTAGCAATCAACGATTTCCAGTATCTCTAAGCTGTTAATTTTCCTTCTTTTCGTAGGATTTAGCTTCGCGAACAATTCTTTACAAATATATCAAAGAGTCTTCTTATTTACAAGACTTTTGATCTATAAATTTTTCCTTTTACACGTGTGAAAAAATGTAAATGTGAAATTAGTAATTGTAAACTGTGGCACTGTATTTTCTAGCCAAACGAAAGGTCTGGGTGTGTTTCTAAATACACAAAATATAAATGGCTATTAATGCTTATGAGAAATAGCATTGTAGAATGCTTAGCCAGGGAGTATCCGATGGCCTTTGGAGATCAGGAAGGTATATTAGAGTAAACTGGACCATGGTTTATAGGTTTGTTTTTTACTTCCTCTGGAGATCATCTGTGGGTTTAGGGTTCTGAGAAAGCAAGGAGTTTTTGTTTTTTTGCACTCAGTGGGCATTTTTTTCACCTACCTAAATAGCTATGTTTATTTCCTGTATTTAAACTATGTCAACATTATGTAGTTCTTTTTACAGAGAATGTTCCCAAAGAAGTTTACGAGTCATACAAGTTCACAGATGTTCTCTCTAGTACCAATTTGGTCATTAGATAATAAGCACACCTAGTTTTTTCTGTAGATATAGAGAAAGAAAATTGTGAACAAGGATGCCACAATCTGCAGATCTCCCAACAAAATATATAAACTTTATTACAAAGATTTTTGCAACTGTATTAAACAAAATGTATACATCCACATCCACCCCTATAAAACTGACAATATTGTCTAGAAAATCCATCCAAGTGACCAAACCCTATCACCCACTCAAGCTAGGCAGTGAATAATATAAACCGTTCAAAATGAATCTGCAATAAATACATATACACTATATTGCCAAAAGTATTGGGACGCCTGCCTTTACACGCACATGAACTTTAATGGCATCTCAGTCTTAGTCCGTAGGGTTCAATATTGAGTTGGCTCACCCTTTGCAGCTATAACAGCTTCAACTGTTCTGGGAAGGCTCTATACAAGGTTTAGGAGCGTATCTATGGGAATGTTTGACCATTCTTCCAGAAGCGTATTTGTGAGGTCAGGTACTGATGTTGGACAAGAAGGCCTGGCTCGCAGTCTCCGCTCTAATTCATTCCAAAGGTGTTCTATCGGGTTGAGGTCATGAGTCTGTGCAGGCCAGTCCTCCACCCCAAACTCACTCATCCATGTCTTTATGGACCTTGCTTTGTGCACTGGTGCGCAGTCATGTTGGAACAGGAAGGGGACATCCCCAAACTGTTCCTAAAAAGTTGGGAGCAGGAAATTGTCCAAAATATCTTAGTATGCTGATGACTTAAGAGTTCCCTTCACTGGAACTAAGGGGCCAAGCCCAACCCCTGAAAAACAACCCCACACCATAATCTCCCTTCCGACACACTTTGCACTTGGCACAATGCAGTCAGGCAAGTACCGTCCTCCTGGCAACCGCTAAACCCAGGCACGTCCATTGGATTGCCAGACAGAGAAGCGCGATTCATCACTCCAGACAACACGTCTCCACTTCTCTAGAGTCCAGTGGCGGCGTGCTTTACACCACTGCTTCCAACTCTTTGCATTGCACTTGGTGATGTAAGGCTTGGATGCAGCTGCTCGGCCATGGAAACCCATTCTATGGCCGAGCAGTGAGGAGAGAGTGAGCCGGCAAGGATCTGACAGCCGGCGACTCTCTCCTCACCGCTCGACCATGCTGCTGTGACAGCGGCTCCCTCCGTGGCTGAAGTGCTCCTAACACTTTTCCTCGGATCCCCGCTGCCTCTGCCCAGGAGAGCAGCGGGGATCCAGAGGAGAAGCTGAGCCCCCCCTGTGTGTGTGCCCGAGTGGCGGCGGATCGGTACATATCAGTGATATGTACCAATCCTCTGTACAGGACAAACCCTGGAGTGATCAGCTGATCACTCCAGTGTTTGTAAATAACTGGGGACACATGGTACTATGTGTCCCCAGTTATGAATGAACAGGAAGTGATTTGCATCACTTCCTGTTCATTCATGAGTTTCTCAATGGGGAGTAGCACTCTGTACAGAGGCTCCTATTCATTCAGAAAATGGATGATAGTAAATAGTTTCTGAATGAATGGGAAGCCTCTGTGCTTTCTATTCATTTAGAACAGAGGCTGCAGAAAAAAAGATTGAGAGTCTAACGCTCTCCCAACTGAGCTATTTCGGCCTGTTTTGCATTGGCTTCTGGCTAGTAACGTTCTTTGTCTATTTTAAAAGGGAAACATCAGGTGGCTGTTTAGACCCCTAATATTTTTTTTCTTGCCTCGGGCGCAAAAGGAGCTAGCTACGACTATGCTCCCGTGGTGCTTGTGTGGCTGCCGGCTGAATGTGTTAGACGCCGTAGACGTAAAGGGGCAGGACACCTCTTCCCGTGTGCAATGTTGGCCACATTCGGGCACCACGGGAGGACAGGATGCCAGGGGCGTGGGGTTATATTGAAGTCAATGGCACTGCAGCTATGCCCCCCACCCACAGTGCGATCGCCCGCACCCGGAACACAAGCACATTAGTGCCTGCATTCCGGTCCAGTTTAATCTGCAAAAATAGTACTTGCAGCATTTTTGCAGATCGCACTAGACCAAAACGCAGGCACTAATGTGCCTGCGTTCCGGGTGCGGGCGATCGCACTGCGGGTGAGAAGCGTTGCTGCCGTGCCATTGACTTCAATGCACCGCCATGCCCCCTCCCGCCCCTTAATGCAGGTGTTTTTTCGTTGGCAGATCTCATTGAGCTCGTCATTTGAAAAGTAGATCTCCAGACGAAAAATTGTGGGCGCCCCTCTTTTCTAGGACAGACTCAGTTTAGCAGGGTTGCCCTCTATTGTTGGTAATAATATCTGCATGTTTCCTACATCAACAGGTGGCAGAGCAACTAATGACAATTGCATATGAGCATGGAGTAAATCTCTTTGATACAGCAGAGGTTTATGCAGCTGGAAAGTGAGTATGTTTCCTTATATTCATATATACAGTACATTCATAAAATGTGCCTATTGTGTATTCTGCTTGAAATTGTACATATTAAGAAACCAATGAGACTAATGGCATGTAGAGATGAGCAAATGACCCACAACTTTAGAAATGTGACTCAGACTCAGTTCACACAAGAAAGAGATTCAGATCAAAATTATATTTTAATATTGTGATATATCTACAGAAACACCTATCTTATCTTTGTGTAGCTCCAGAACTTGTACAACTGAAAGTAAATACTCCATCATCCAGCTAAGTCTGTCTTTCATAATATATATTTCTAACAGTTTAAAGTTATTCAGTGCATTTGTGAGTTCAACTGGCCTGCATTTTCCTCCTAGAAAAGAACTACTATGAAATATCTATGGATCTGCCACAGGCAGAGGGAGCTGCAAATAGATGAGATGCAGGGCTAACCATGCGATATCTCACCACACTTTCCATCAAACACAATTTATTAGTATTATCCTTTATTAAAACATTATCAGTGATTTTATGATCCATGTAAAATGTTCCTGAATTGCTATATTTTAGCCTCTTATTTTGCTCACAAAGATTCACATTTTGAAAGGACAAAATGGCTGCAGTCATTGATCACTCCTTACCATATACTTGTGTTAGCTCACTGGTGTCTGGAACATCTGTTCTCTTTTTAAAAAATAATGGGTAAACATTTAAAAATAATGGGTATATCTGTATAGCTGTCTGGCCGAGAGAGTACAGATGTATGAAGTGATCGGTGTTCCTTTCCTTGTCCAGGCAGTGCAAATTTTGGGTCTTAATTGTCTATCTATCTATCTATCTATCTATCTATCTATCTATCTATCTATCTATCTATCTATCTATCTATCTATTTATCTTTCTATATCCCTGCTGCCCAACCTATGGCCCTGTAGCACTTATTGTGAGGCCATCAGGGCCCTCGCAGACGGTAGTCTGTGTTCTCCTTACCTAGGGGCATACTCAGCCCACTAAAGGAAAAATATTCTTTAGACTGATTTTCAGTAGCTAAATGAGTTCTAAAGTCCCAGCATATCCTATCCTGTTATAACATCAGCAATGAACAGGAATACATACTATTACTCTACACTATATTTATTTTTGAGAATGCAATCAAAGCTTACTTGCAGCCTGCCACCTTTAGCAGATGCTAGAAAGGCTGTTTATCTGAAAGTACCTGTAGGACTCCATCTTAAGGGTCCAATTTGGGCTTCTGATCTTAAAAACCACACACAATTTTAAGTGTGTTTACATGCACTGCCATGTACTGCTTTTTAGATACATGTTCATGTATGTGCTTTTATATGTGTTTTCCTGCAGAAGCCTACTTCCTACTTATTGCACATCTTTTGTTTTAAAAAATAACTCCAATACATTTATCTTTACTTAAAATCTGCTGACTTACTAATAGTTAAGTGCAACAAGGTGTATACCACCTTCTACAATGTTCAATTTAATTCTGCTAAATATATTCTAGATGCATTAAAGAATACTCCAGGAAAGTTAAGAGATGTATGCTACATCCTGCAGTCTCTCCTTTTTTTTTACCATTTACACTGAGTACTGAGTTACACTGAGTACTGAGCTATTCCTATACTTTTGGTACTCTGATAAACTAGACCTTTGAATCTCCCACTCACTCCTTTTGCTCAGTTACAAAAGTCTCTGTATTCTGTGAACCTATTCTCAAAATGCAAAGCTTTCTGTGAATGGAAAGGAGAGCCGGTTCTCACATGTCTGAGCACCAGTGTATAGCGAAAGCCATAATATCTGTGCTCAGTGCAACTGTAGATTGTTTAAAAAAAAGGAGAGAGCTGCAGAATATGGCATACAACTCATTGTACTTAACAGTTAGGAAACCAATAGATGTATACTAAAGATAACTTTCCTGTAGTTCTTTTTTAATGCACTTAGAATATATTTAGCCGATTTAAATTGAAAATTCAATAAGGACTTTCATTTGTGAGGCAAAGACCTGGTAGCGGTATGCAGATCAAGAGTTCTGACTGCACCAAGACTGTCAATTCTGCATGCCTGTTTTAGGTCAGTGACTTATTGAAACCATAGACAGCCAAGCCACTAGTAGTTTTAGCAGGTGAACCTTGCAACTCCAGTATGTCAATCTGTACTGGTTTCTGTATCCATATGCAGCCTGCTTCATTAAGGATGTTTACTTTGTAGTTATACAAGCTTTGAGTGCTTTTTGTAAAACTGCTGTTTGTGTCTTCCAGGGCAGAAGTGATCTTGGGAAATATCATCAGGAAGAAATGCTGGAGGTGAGATTACCTTGGTTTTCCCTTTCCTAGTTTCTGTAGATGTAGGTTACTTGAGTACAGATATTGCACAGAAAAGGTTGCCTGTAGAGATTTAGTTTCTATGAAAATGACAAGGATCTCTTTGCAAGCTGTGTTTTATCAGTTACAGGATTTGCTTTTTAATGAACAAGTCTCCTGAGACGTAGGGGAGCCGCAAGTTATATCACATATCCCTGCTCATGAGCGCACATGAAAGGAAAATATAGAAAGATTCTAATCCAGAGTGTCAATCATACTCAGCAAACTGTTGTTATTATTGTCATCATAGAAAACATACTGGCAATATTGATGATGATGAGGACTGGCATAGTAAGAAAACGAAATGGAACACTGATATTAATGTTAGAAATTAATTTGCATCATTAGCTTTATAAACAAGTGTGAAGATATTTATATTTTATTTACAGTAGATTCCAAAAAGGAAACGGACAGTATAGAGATATGGGCATTGCTGTTTTGTTTTTAATGTGCTTATTTCAAGTCTGTAAAGACACCTGATATGACCATACTATCCACCTCGAGGTAAGTAGTAAAACAAAGATAAGGATGAAAGCCAAACAGAATACACCTTTGAAAACAAGTCATCAGTGGCAGTCCCTTTATTTCTGTAAAACAGCGCTGAAACGCTGTCACCCTGGTGTGAATGGGGACTAAGATTCTCTCTTTTTTTTTTAGCAGTTTTAATATGGAGTGACTGGCAATAGGAGAAGTGCTTCACAAATGCATTTTTTCTTACAGGAGATCCAGTCTGGTCATCACGACCAAATTATACTGGGGAGGAAAGTGAGTATTAATGAAGTGCTCATAGTCTTCTTGGTACATTACATACAGAATGCTATGGAGGAACTATGATAGCCACTTTTTGTTTGATACTGATCAGAATATGTTTTTAGCATCATTATAATTGGATATTTTTTATAGATGATATAAAAAGCAATGAGAAGCTTTCATATCACCATAGCCGTACGCTACCCATATACACAAGATAACATTCAAGGGATCCAGCTGTTTTCTGACAAATCTCATGTATGTTTAGGTGAAAGGATTGTTCCTCCCTAAGATAAACAGCCTGTGTCTGGCTTCACCACTCCCCACCATCCCCCATTGACATAAACATTAACATGAATGGCTGAGCTGAGGACAAATCAAGCCTACATGTCCAACTGCCCTCATCATCTTCATCTTCATCCTTACATGTGAAAATCAGCAACAGTTATGTTATAAACATTCATCTGAACCTAAGGGCCCATTTACACTTTGCCGTTCATGTGCATTGGATTAACAGACGCTCGTTGTGTCACGTGTTGATGTGTGTTCTGTTAGAACTCTGGTAAAAACTTTTATTAACCCTTGCAGTGGGGATATTCCCGCACTGCAAGGTTTAACTGCTCGTTGTCGTCTAGGTGCTAAAATAAAGAATACAACATAAAAAAGGAGTTTCCACTTCCTCAGAGCAGATCTAAGGAAGGGGAAACTCCACGAAAACGCGTTCAGCTGAGTCAACTGGTTTCTGCTGGTCTAGCAGCATATTTGGATTGTTTTCTCTGACTGCTAGGAATCTGCATGTATCCTACTTTCTAAACAAATAAAAGGATTATTTGCATCAGGATAGGTGCCCGGTGTTTCTTTTTTATGTTTCACACAGTCTAATCCCTTATCTGTAACAGGGCGGCCTGCCTGGAACACAAGATTCAATTTGTGGCTGAAGGAGGTTCCTATCTGGCGCTGGTTTTGTTTTTTGCTAAAATAAAGAAGGTTATACTCTCCTGATCCTCGGAGCCGGCTGTCTGTCACAGTGCTTCCTCCTGCCTCTCTCTTCCTCCGCTGCAGCGATGGTATGTCCCTCTTTGTCCTCACATCCTATACACAGTGGGAGGGGGAATTTATCAAAACTGGAGCAGCTGTGCATGGCAACCAATCAGCTTCTCTCTTCAGTTTGTTCTGTTAAGATTTGAAAATGAAACAGAGAAGCTGATTGGTTGCCATGCACAGCTGCTCCAGATTTTGTCTGCTCCAGTTTTGATAAATTCCCTTCTATGTATTAGCCGTAAGGACTCGAGGATCCTTAGACCGCTGCAGTGGAGGGGAAGCGAGGCTGGAAGAACTGGTCTAAGAACAAACTGACCCTAAGGATCAGGTGAGTATACATTTTTTATTTAAGCACCTAGACAAAAGCGAGCAGTTAACCCTTGCAGTGCAGGGGTAGCCCCACTGCAGGAGTTAATAAAAGTTTTGTTCTTCTTCATTCATTTTAAATGGGCTGCTAATGCACAGAAATGAAAAAAAAATTACATGCAGCACTTTGTATTCAGTGCAGCTCACCACAACGCACAGTACATTATCATTAGTGCTTTGGAATGCCATTCAACAATGGCATTAGGTTAGGGTTAGGTCATTAATTTTCAATGTTGAGAGACTGCAGCCGAGCAGACAAAGCACATAACACTTGTGGCACTTCTCATTCATGGAAAGCAATAGGGCTGATTTTCTAAAGGTGTAGACGTCTAACTTATTCGTAAATAAGGAAAGCTGTGTTCAGCGCTAGTAAAAATCCAGTTTTTCTTTTAATTTCCCTCAAGCATGATTGGGTATTTAAAGTGAGCACAGCATCCCCTTATTTACTAAAATTCTCTTTGCTCAGTGAACAGCCTCTACTCCTGTAGTAAGCCTTTCATAGGTTCACATAAGCCTGCATGCTAAAATGCTCCGTTTTAGTGCACATGCTGGTATGTGTTTTGTGCCAGCCATGGGGGGGCAGTGCCTTGCATTGCGACAATGTAAGGCACTGTTTACCTTTTTTTCAAACTTTATTAAAATGTCAAAGTGCCTATTCATTCATATCTGTCTACTGCAGGTGAACTCCAGGGCATTGCACAAAACTGTAGTGTTGGGGTATGAACAAGATACATAGAAAACAATGTTTTCTATGTGCCCTTGCAGTGACTGGCATTGTTCTGGTGTGGAAAAATGCCAGTTACTGCACATAGTGCGAATGGGCCCTATATCAAACCCACTGTCTGTAAAATCACCATAGTAACGTTAACTGCATGGACGTGAATGTGCAGCTCTGATCTCAGGTAATGCATTCCGAGCAATTGGAATGAACATGGAGGAAGCAGGAGCAGATTGTAATATCATGGTGGGTCAAATTGGCAGATATGGCTTTGCAATCTCAAGCATCTGACTTCTCACTAGTAGATAACAGCTGATCTACCAAGCCCATGAGAACAGCTATTTGTTTTGTTATTTTTATTTATCTATATGTGTTTATTTCTGTTTGTTAAACAGTTTGTAACTAACCTGGTAAGCCCATTATTTCAGCAAGGGCTCCCTATTCTATTTTTTTCCTGCAATCATTATGAGAATACAATTAAAACGTAATGTAGAAAAACAATAAAAATGTAATCATAGCACTAATCAAAAATAATAAGGATAGCTTGCATCCTGCATTATACAGCCAGAATATTCTCCCGAGAAGTGACGTAGTGAGACCCATTACAAAGCAAGGCAACCAATCAGCTTCTCTCTTCAGTTTGTTCTGTTAAGATTTGAAAATGAAACAGAGAAGCTGATTGGTTGCCATGCACAGCTGCTCCAGATTTTGTCTGCTCCAGTTTTGATAAATTCCCTTCTATGTATTAGCCGTAAGGACTCGAGGATCCTTAGACCGCTGCAGTGGAGGGGAAGCGAGGCTGGAAGAACTGGTCTAAGAACAAACTGACCCTAAGGATCAGGTGAGTATACATTTTTTATTTAAGCACCTAGACAAAAGCGAGCAGTTAACCCTTGCAGTGCAGGGGTAGCCCCACTGCAGGAGTTAATAAAAGTTTTGTTCTTCTTCATTCATTTTAAATGGGCTGCTAATGCACAGAAATGAAAAAAAAATTACATGCAGCACTTTGTATTCAGTGCAGCTCACCACAACGCACAGTACATTATCATTAGTGCTTTGGAATGCCATTCAACAATGGCATTAGGTTAGGGTTAGGTCATTAATTTTCAATGTTGAGAGACTGCAGCCGAGCAGACAAAGCACATAACACTTGTGGCACTTCTCATTCATGGAAAGCAATAGGGCTGATTTACTAAAGGTGTAGACGTCTAACTTATTCGTAAATAAGGAAAGCTGTGTTCAGCGCTAGTAAAAATCCAGTTTTTCTTTTAATTTCCCTCAAGCATGATTGGGTATTTAAAGTGAGCACAGCATCCCCTTATTTACTAAAATTCTCTTTGCTCAGTGAACAGCCTCTACTCCTGTAGTAAGCCTTTCATAGGTTCACATAAGCCTGCATGCTAAAATGCTCCGTTTTAGTGCACATGCTGGTATGTGTTTTGTGCCAGCCATGGGGGGGCAGTGCCTTGCATTGCGACAATGTAAGGCACTGTTTACCTTTTTTTCAAACTTTATTAAAATGTCAAAGTGCCTATTCATTCATATCTGTCTACTGCAGGTGAACTCCAGGGCATTGCACAAAACTGTAGTGTTGGGGTATGAACAAGATACATAGAAAACAATGTTTTCTATGTGCCCTTGCAGTGACTGGCATTGTTCTGGTGTGGAAAAATGCCAGTTACTGCACATAGTGCGAATGGGCCCTATATCAAACCCACTGTCTGTAAAATCACCATAGTAACGTTAACTGCATGGACGTGAATGTGCAGCTCTGATCTCAGGTAATGCATTCCGAGCAATTGGAATGAACATGGAGGAAGCAGGAGCAGATTGTAATATCATGGTGGGTCAAATTGGCAGATATGGCTTTGCAATCTCAAGCATCTGACTTCTCACTAGTAGATAACAGCTGATCTACCAAGCCCATGAGAACAGCTATTTGTTTTGTTATTTTTATTTATCTATATGTGTTTATTTCTGTTTGTTAAACAGTTTGTAACTAACCTGGTAAGCCCATTATTTCAGCAAGGGCTCCCTATTCTATTTTTTTCCTGCAATCATTATGAGAATACAATTAAAACGTAATGTAGAAAAACAATAAAAATGTAATCATAGCACTAATCAAAAATAATAAGGATAGCTTGCATCCTGCATTATACAGCCAGAATATTCTCCCGAGAAGTGACGTAGTGAGACCCATTACAAAGCATATATAACAAGTGTATAACAGAGTTTCCCTATTTGACCTAAGTGTAAAATATTAGAGATGGTAACATTGATTGGTTTGTCCTTGCCAGCTATGTGGCATCAGCCAGGTATAAGAGTCTGAATAGTTTTTATGTTATTGATCTGTATTTATTTTTCTAGAGCGGAAACAGAAAGAGGTCTATCTAGGAAGCATATCATTGAAGGTAATTTTCTTTTATATGAATGTTGTCTTCATTATAGTTGAATTAATGTACTCTAGCTCTGCGGTCGCCAACCTTTCGGACCTCATGGACCACTAAATTCATAATTTTAAATCCTGCAGACCACTAATATGAATTTTTTAAAAATATATATATATATTCACATATTTTTTGTTTCCTCATATATAAATATATTCTCATATGTGTGTGTGTGTGTGTATATACAGGTGAAACTCGAATAATTAGAAAGCTTCAGCACTGCCTCCCCTTCCCCCACACTAAGCCACTATTACGCGGCTTCTCCCCACTTTTTCTATGTCCCGCAGCCTGCTCAGTCCGGGTACTGACGAGATGCTCCGCCTCCTGCAGAGCCCACACTGTACTGAAAGCCGCACATTCCTTGTGACAGTCGCTGCTTGAGTCAGTGAGAGGCAGCCCCAGAGCCTCCGTGCCGCTTCAATGACAGACCAGCCTGCACAGCATCAGAGGAGCCCGGGGACCACCAAAACCACTGTTTGGCGACCGCTGCTTTAGCTGATCTAAAGTATCACTAAAACTAATAGTAAACCCACTTACTGTATCTGTATATGTACTGAATGTAATGCGTGTGACTTAAAGAAACCCAAAAGTTGTCATTACAAGTGATTTGACTATACAGACTTTGTCTTTGGGTCAATTACACAATGCAATATAGTAGTTTTAGGCATATATGCCTAATCCACACAAAACTGTTCTTTTAGTTTTCTGTGGGTGTTGGGGAGTTCACTATCTGACAATTTTTTATATCTCTTAGGGACACCTCTTGCTGTTCCTTTTGTACTCATTCCACTACACTTGCTTTATTTTTCAGTTTCTTGTATATTATGGGGAAAGTAATAGGAGGAGGGGGAACAAGCTGGGGCTACCCAAACTTCCAGCTGCACAGGAACAGAGTAGAGAATTATGGCAGACAGAACTCACTGTTGGAGTATCTAATACAAATAAGAAGCTAGGGTCTAAATTAGTCCACCAGGCTGTAGTTGTTATGCCTGCTGCTGAGACTGAAATTCATTTTGTACAGTTAAATCAAATCTACACACTGAATCATTTGGACTTGAATCCGAACCTTACCTAAGCCAAGGTTGTTGCCCCTGCTGTTCTCTTTGTTATCTCAGTAGGCAGTACATGTACTCCCACTGTAAACTTAATTTAGTATTTTAATTTGGCCTTATGGAACAATGTGAATTTTTCTATTAAAAAGGTATACCTATAAGAAATACTGCAGTCGGCATACGTTTACTTGTACAAGATTTTATCAGTTATGACATTTCTGGTATAATGAACCTAAGAGCATTGCTAGGGATTTACTCTATGCATAAGAATGTCTGTAATGTTACTCCAACTGACACCAACAGTGGGGCACAATTTCTCCCATTGACACCATCAATGGGGCACTATTTCTTCCTCTGACACCAACTGTGGCATAATTTTTCCTCCCACCGACACCAGTGATGGGGCACTATTCCTCCTCCCAATAACCACAGGCTCTAGGTATTTTCTGTTACATCCACTGACCACCAACCCTGGCTCATTTCTTACTCCCACTGACCACCAAGCCTGAGGCCTTGTTTATTCCCACTGACCACTGATGCCAGGGAATTTTCTAGACCAAGTTGCTTCACCAAATTTTGAAGGACAATGAATTAGCCCTTTGTTTAGAACCCTGGAATAGATGATCGCTATCAACAAGTGAAGCAGTGGTAGCACAGTGCTAGGGAACCTTACAGCCTAGAACAAATACTGCTATAAGTCCTCATTTATAACTTATACAGTGCTTGTTTGGTTTGCAGTATAAACCAAAGATATTGAACCCTTATTAATTCTTAGCAAGCCAGTGAGATTGTAACAGTCTAACCTGTACAAATATAGTGTTATTTTCTGTCTTCTAATGGCCCTACATGGAAAGCAAATCAGCTTTTTAATCTCCCTGCTTCTGAAGCAGTACTTTACTAAAATGCCTGTCCTAAACTGTGCAGTAACCAACATAAGGAAACCTAAAGGGGAAAAAAAAGAAGATTCAGGCATCCTACAACTGTCATGTGAAAACGGCATGCCTGGCATTCATCCACGTGCTTTCTCTTTGCTTATCTTTTCAAAGGACTATAAGCATGAACATTTTGATGGATGCTGTGGTTGCTTCCTCTGATAAATCTACAGAGTTTGCAGACTCAGCAGACATCATTATCAGGCATCAGAAAGAAATCTGAACTGACAGAAAAGTTGAAAATCCCAGCAGACCTCTCAAAAGACAGCAGAAGAAAGGAAAAAGTGAAGTGCACACTATACATATAGCAGCAACACCTGTGTTAATTGATATGGTATATAGTACATTCCTTATTTAGTTCCGTCTGTGCTCCTACTTTCAGTATATTGATTCTTTGTCTATAGTAATTATAAGTTCTTCTGAGGGGATTAACCCTAATCAGCAGCTTCGTAACCAGGAGTGTAATATTAACACTAGGAAAAGTTAAAAAGAAAGTCCAATGTTGCTAGTGCTCTCCGGGGGGATCGGGGTGTCTTTCGCTGGTGTGAAGCTCCTGGTAAGTACGGACTGGGATGTCCGACGTGTGTGCTAAGGAAACAAAAAGGAAGGAAACAGAAGAGCCACAACCTAGCACAATAACTTTGGTGTGATGGGACCAGGTACTATAATTATATTATACTCACATGTGGGAGGATGAACATGAGCTTCAGCACGGAAACATTTTAGAAGTTGTGGTATTGTAGTATTGGGGTGGGTGTTGGTCTTCTTGGATAATTGCATTTGTACCAAAGTAAAAATGATAATGATGGCAAAGGGTGAGAATTCTTAAATAAATGTGAAAAAAAAGTGTGACTTTAAATCTCACCATTAGGTTAGTTGTGATGCAGTTTTAACTGCGAAGATTTTGTGGCAAGCTAATTGATATTCTGGAGGTGATGTGGTGGGAAAGTTTAAATCATGTGAGAATGTGGTGTCGTCCGGGTGGTGTGCTTCTAGTGGCTTCTCCTTTCTGTGGTAGCTATCCGGTTTGATGAGCGGTGGTCTATTTAGTGTTTATAGTGGAGTCGATTTTCCTTGAGGGTCTCGGGTGGATGTAGTATGTGGACTTTCGTCCAACGTCCAGGGCTTAATTGGAGTCTGATCACTAGCCACTGGAAGCACACCACTCCGAGGGCACCACCTTCTTCTTAACGATTTTATCATGAAGCTCTTATGAACCCTCTCACATGATTTGAACCTTCCCATCACATCGCCCCCAGGACATCAATCAGCTTGCCACAAAATCTTTGCTGTGGAAACCGCATCACAACTAACCTAATGATAAGTTTTAAGGTTGCACTAGTTTTTACATTTATTCAAGGATTCTCACCCTTTGCCATCATTATCATTTTTACTTTGGTACAAACGTAAGTATGCAAGAGGACCAACACCCACCCCAATACTACAATACCATGACTTCTACGATGTTTCCGTGCTGAAGCTCATGTCCACCCTCCGACATGTGAGTATAATATCGTTTGTACTCCCATCACACCTAAGTTATTGCGCTAGGTTGTGGCACTTCGGTTTGCTTCCTTTTTATTTCCTTAGCAATATTAACACTGTAGACTTTACAGTAAAAATTATAAATATTTCTCTAACTGAAAAAATGGAAACATCAAACATGACTTGATATTTTCATCCATTTTATTTCAGAAACATGTTTAGCAATGTGATGCTTCATCAGTAGAGCAGACAGTCAGTTATAGCACTCATTTCTTATCCTGAATAGTACGAGTTCTTCTGATTTGTTCAGCTTGCCTAAGGTTATTTTTATTTTCATTATCTGGCCATAACAAAAAGATTCAGCTGCTCTATGACTGATGATGTTTAGTTGTTGTCCAGTTGTATACGCTAAAGGACTGATCCAGAACTGTAACCCAGAAATTTACAGAAATACACACAGAGCAAGTTGTTGTACGGAAGAACAAAATAATTAAAGTAGCAAACTGCTGTGTTGGTTGGATTACACAGCACTAAACGTATATGTGTGCCCTACTCCAGCACTCTGTGATGCAATTTCGGTCCTTCATTGCCACCATCTCCGCCATTGTCACTTCAGTGTTCCCAGGCATCCTCTTCGGTCATCGGGTGGCTACTGTTGATGCAACTCCTGCGCATGCCCATTGCAATTACATCCTCCCTGGCATCAGGCCCATTCGTAGCATCTTAGCGATGCTTGAGCACATGCACTATACAGTGTACACAGAAGACTTTGCAGAAGTTTTTTTGGCAGAGAAGACTTTGCATGTCTCGCCTGCCAAAAATCTCTAGCTCCTAGTAATTTTATTATTATTGCTATTATTATTTTAATAATTTTTTCCTTAACTTCCACTTTAAAGTAGAACCATGTCCTCCCATCAATGCGTGCTGTAGCACTTCATCATAAATGTATCTGCATTTATACTTTTCTCTTAGTCCCCCTGCAAAGACCCACAATTACCTGTTGACCCTTCCACTGAAGGCCACCTAATGTAGCTTCCTGGCTGTGTGGAAACAATGCTGCACTGCTCCTGAATTCAGAGCAGGGCTGCCACCCAGTAACTGGATTTGGGACTTGTTTAGGCTGCCATACAGCAGCCTTTAGTTGCACATTAAAGAAATCCTTTTACAAAGAAAAACATCTGATGGAAGCCACCAGTCCATAACTAATGCACCAAGTATTAGTTCTAGGAAAGCTTAGCTTCACTCTCCTTTTAACTTGTATGTGGCACATGGTCAAGAAATGTCTGCTTCCATCAGATCCTAATAACACACTTGTGTTAAGGCAACGTATTTATTTAGAATGGGCTGCTAATGCACCTAATCATGAGAAAAAATGCACATGGCCCTTTTTTAGGGATGCAGCGCATGGCAACACATTACCATGCCTTGTTTTACATTGTGGTTTACTGCAGCACAGATTAATTGCCTTAATTGAAAAAAAAATGAATGGCATCCCAGTGCACAAATGCAGTGTAGGGTGTTACCTAAAATAACTGCAGTACTGCGCACGGGACGGCAGCTCAGTTGTGTGAACATATATCTGATGTTCAGTCTCTACCAGTCAAATGTATATATGGCATTTAACAGAAAGGCTGAATTATCTGCACACAACAGTAATTCCAGTGAGTACACACAGCTGCAAATTACCCAGTGAATGATAGATATTCTTTTTGCTGACAAGAATATGATGAGTTGGGGTGGTTGCATACTTTGCCTGGCACTTTTTATATTCCAGGGCTACTCTAAAGTCTTAGTCAGCCCTTATACGTACTATTGTCACGACTTCTAAAAAGCACAGCAGGGTGGTTGGATGTTAAAATGAAACGTGTCAGAGAATTACGTCTATTCTGTGAGTTACAGTATGTCAAGGTGACAGTACACAGGAGTGAGATGCTGGACAAAAAAGCAGGATAACGTTTAAGATTAACAGGAAAAAGAAACTAAAATATTAGATCATTTTACAGTCTTTGCATAACCCTTTGCTGTTTACACCTAATACCATGTAATGTTAATAGGAATGAAAGTATTTGTGCATTTATGTTCTTTATTAATCATGTACAGGAACTAAGAAATCTCTGTTTTGGTCAGATAACTGTGAAATATTGCAATGGGGTAGTTCATATTTACCACCCGCAACCAGCAAGTGGAAAGTGCAAGGCTTTAAGTGCCAGATTGTTATACTACTATGTTGTGAAAATCATGTGTTGTGATAAGACCTTAACGGCAAGATATAAGATTACAACTGATTAATTAGAGGTGGGGCATGCCCCCTCCCTCATTGCTCACAATGACAGTACTGTGTACATTTTCAATCTGTAGGGTTCATTCAGCAAGTGCAGATTTAGTGCTGGGCTTTCTTGTTAGAAAGCCAAGCATGCGCCACAAAAGGCATATCACTGAATCATCATGTATATTGTTAAGATTATAAAGATTTTCTATACATTAAAATAAAAAATGAACATTGCCAAAAAATATAGATTTCTTTTTTTGGGCACTTTTTCTTTTCAAATCTTAAATGAAAAGTGTCTAGAAGTGGTTTCAGCAAATGGGAAAGTGCAAAGCAGAATTGATACAACATATGCAATACAATTACTCTAATTACTTCTCACAACAAATAATGATATGAAACTATGCAGAATGAAGTTCTGAGCAGCAAGATACACTGGGGAATGAATATACTAAAGCCCATCTCCAGGCAAACCAAAAAAAGTCCCCACACTGCAAGAGTTACGTGTTCATTTTTGTCTATGGGCTGGAGTAAAGCAGATTTACTTACTTGACCCCTGCTCCAGCCAGCTCCCTCAGGGCTGCTAGATCTATCCACTGGTCCCTACAGCCCATTCGCTCCAGCGGTCTAAGGACTGCTAATGTCATCACGTTTAATGAAGGTTCTATAGGCCTGCTTTAGACATGAGGTGCCGAGGTTCATTACACAAACTGGAGCGGAGGGGAGAAAAGGAGAGTGCTGACCACTGGGGTATTGTGGGCCAGGTAAGTAATTCTGCCTTAGTCCAGCCCCTTGACAAAAACGAGCACATAACCTTTGCAGCAGAGTACCTCATAGAAACCATAATTTATGGCATAGAACAATTTGAATGAAGTAGGTATGTGGAGCTGCTGACTTCCTTGCTGTTCTTGGTCCTGTGTTGCAGTACAGTATACAGTGCAGACTACAGACATACTAAATGTAAAAAAAAAGCAATGGCCTTTGATAGTGGTCCTCAAAGTGCAGGAAAAGGCATAGGTAAAGATTTATATTTGCACAGATGTTTGATGCTCCTTGATATACTGTTTTAAACAAGCTAATTTATTTTAGAGTGCAGTTATCACATACTTTGTTTTCAAATGATTACATGACAGGTGTGCTTTAGGTTCTAATGCCACTTCAGGTCAAGTGTCTTTCAGACAGTGCAATTCAGGACAGATAAAGTACTTTTCTGAGATCTGGTAAATACCTCATCTGAGCTCTTCTCTTACCGTATGTTTTCATTTTTGTGCTGCTTATAGGATTAAAGGGCTCTCTGCAGAGGTTGCAGCTGGAGTATGTGGATGTGGTGTTTGCCAACCGGCCAGATAATAATACCCCAATGGAAGGTTAGTATGAGAGAATTGATTCCACTTTACAGATTTCTGTCACCTGAATCATAAAAATTAAATTCTGCTTATGAAGAATATAGGTCAGCTTGCCATAGATAAATAGCAAGGACACGTTCTAGCAAAGCTTTTCTCATTTTGAAATGTATTAAATGTAATAGCCACAAAATTCTATCCATTCTAGGAAGATAGAAAACTATGTCAAAAGATCATCACTGCTCTATTTTATTGGATGACAATGAAACGTATTTGTATGTGACCTCTGTAGAATGTTTTTTTTTTATCTCCTCTGCTAAATATTGTATTCCTATCTTTAAAAGGGAAAAATCATCAGCTGTATAAAAATCTTAGAATCTCTTCTGAAATTTCATTAATATGTGTATGAGATTAATCGCACAAATGATCTTTTTCATTACAAAGCATTGTTATGCTGAGAAAGTCATGATTTATTAAAAATGCAGAGTGAAATTGCATTGGTGACATTATTTAATTTTTAAAGCACTCTGTATACTCAGCTTTAGATCATGTCTATTGCTCTAAACAATCCTATTAGAATGTTGCCATCAGTAAGCCAAATACAGCAGAGCCAATCATTCTGAGCCCCTACATGTCAATAACCAATTAAAAAAAGTGCAATTTGAGATTTAAAAAAAAGATGATATAATCGTGCAGAATTGGCTGTGCTGGGTCATACTTGGGATGAAGATGGACAGTAAGAAGTCACATTGGTGAGCAGGGAGGAGGCTTTGTCAGTTAGGGCAGTGAGAATGTCTGCACTGAGTATAATAAAGGGATATAAAAACCCCTGGCGATTGTGGCTTTGGGATAAGACATGTGACTAAGAAGATGCTTGGGCCGGGCTGTAAATTCTTCTTAAAATGTCATTAATTCCACATAAATGAGTAGTGTACATATTGCTACAATAGGATTCTTTCAAGCATTGTATGCAGTTACGGAATGCTGAAAGGTTTGTTAGCTCTCCTTGTAATTCCGATTTTTTTTCATCTGCTGTACCATCTGCTCTGTCATATCAGGCAGTGCAGGCACATATAATATATGTGAAATCTTGAAAAAGCCACAGGAGTCATGCTATGGCTTTCCTTGCTAAGGACCAGAATGTAGTGTGAAGTCTTTCTTCTTCTGCAAACTCTTTGTTCAAACTCCACAGTAATTCAAACTCGACAGTAATTCCGTGCAGTCGCTGGAATAGAAAAACAAAACAGCTTGTGCAAATTGTATATTTAGTCCTGAGAGAAATAGACTGTTAGTTTCAATATCCATCAAGTACATTTGTCTAGTTTTTAATTTGAACTGTAAATTCAAATTACGAGCCTAGCACAACTGCGGACAACATGGACAGCCACTCTGCAGTACTGAGTGTAGGGGTGATGTTGCCTGCTGGTGACCTGCATATACATATCGATTCAATTCACAAATATAAGGACTTTATACTAACTATGTATCTGTTATTTTCCAATTTCAATGGACTCTGCTAAAACTTACTGTCACTTTCTTGAAAACTAAGATCCTTACCCTGATGTGTAAGCGTTGTCAGTTGAGCCTTATGTAAGGATACCAGAACAGGAGCTTTAGGGTTCATGTGAACAGGTATTCTTATCAAACACTATGGGGTCTATTCACAAAGCTGCCGAGGGCAGCCGAGTGAATGACCGATCAGAAGTGAAGTGAGCCGAACACTGTTCGGCTATTCACTTCAGGCTGGTACGGCTGATTTCAGCCGTACATCGGCTGAAATCAGCCGTACATCGGCTTGCTTCGTGTGGCTTCGGATCAGCCGAACATGCTCAGCATGTTCGGCTGACCCGAAGTGCAGAAGGAGTTCGACTCAGCCGATCCAACATCTGGATCGGCTGAGCCGAACCTCCGGCAGGCTTCACACTGCTGTTCGGGCTATTCTGAAAGATCCCGAACAGCAGTGAGAGAATAGCCGAATGCCGCCGAGCGGCAGGAATGTATGCAGCTGTGTTCGAATGGAAAACACAGCATTTGACAAGAAATGGTTGCATTTGACCTGGTTTGCCTGCAGTTTAAATACACATTTAACGGATATGCTTCCTCCAAAGGAGCTGTTTGACATGCTTTCCAAAAGAACATCAAATGCAGGAAAATAAACACTGTCAACATGCGCCCTTAAATAAGTAAATATTTGTTTTAAATAATATCTTCTCATTGAATGTGACAACCATCAAAGGGATGGTAAATGTTATTTATACTGTAAGCTTTTCTGATTGCTTTCAGATAATTGTATTTTCCTTTAAACTTTGTTCACAATGGAAGAGAAAGACCGGGCTTACATTGTTGCACTGCAGAACCACATGTAAATGCATGTTTGGTGTTCTATTTAGTCTTAATGGCACCCCAAAGTACCTTGCCAGTGCACATGCATTGCAGTACACCATGATGCACAGTATTGCACTAGCAGCCCATTTAAATGTGCGTGCAATAATGCAGTGCAACAGTGTAAATCCAACATAGAAGCTCCCCCCATGTGCCAGCCTTCCACTGAGAATAAGAGAGAGTCTACCCCAACAAAGATTTTAAGTGCATAGTAAAATTTAACCCAAACAAAAGTCCTTTACCTCTCGCCAGACCTAATTTCTGTTAAATAGTTTACAGCTAGCTCTTTCCATAATATATAACCAGTCAGTATCTGTAAAAAATAAGTCAAGACAACTGGACTTGCTGTATTTTTCTTGAAGATGTTTCACTGGTCATCCGACCAGCTTTCTCAATTGAGAATGACTTGTACAAAAATTATCTGGGAATAAATATGGTGAATGTTGCTCCAATCCACATAATCTGTTAATAGCAACCATTTGATTGGAGTAATATTCACCATTATTCCCAGAGAAGTTTTGTACAAGTACAAGAATTGAGAACGCTGGGAAGAATTGAGAAAGCTGGGTGGATGAACAGTGAAACGTCTTCAATAAAAATACAGCAAGTCCAGTTGCCTTGACTTTTTTTTTTTTTACAGATATACCATGACCTGGATAAATGAGAACCTTCACAGACATAATCAGTCTGCCTACCCATAGCTGCATTTAAACAGCAGCTTAAACTTCCCCCCACTCCTCAGTTATCTGGATATCTTATGAAACTAGAGTGGCACTAAAGCCTGAATTAGTGAGTAAAGAGATGGAGTTTAACTTTTTCCCAGAAAATACTGGGATAACTAGTACCATAACACAGCATGACATCAAGCAGTTTAGTTGATAAAAGTGATTCATGGCCCACAATACTCCGTCCATTGTGTATGCTAAATGTAAAATCTTGTGGTTGTACACTCATAATTCATGTAACCCTTGTTGAGTGTGAAAATCCTATGTAATGGCAACTGTATTTCTTTAAATATGTTTGGACATTCCATCCACAGGCTAGTATCATGTAACTGGAGATAAGCCAACATTCTATTTTAAACAGAAATAGCCAGGGTATATAACATAAGAAAAGCGACTATGAGAAGGACCAGAACATAATTGAGGCTTGTGTAAATGGGCAAATACAGCATGCTGTTAGATGCACCCAAGATCACTTAGAAAAGTTTCTGAGATTGTTTAGAGGTGTCTCTGACCTGATTCTCACCTCTGTCTGACCTGCATTGGACCTCATTCTAAGGTGCATAGAGCTGATTCATGTTGCTTTTACTCTTTCATTTACTGTAATGGGAAGAAAAACAGTTCTGACATAACATGTACACAAGTCCTAACACAAAAGTGCACTGGCATGGCAGTTAAGAAAACTGTTCAAATACACATGGGATAAAAATATTATTACGTATGTTCCAGAATCTCCAAATGCTTGAGGCTGTGTAAAAGTAACTCTTTTGAGCAGCTAATAAACTGTTACTGTAAGGACCTGGTCCCAAGTACCAGGGAGAGCCAGTCTTCATAATGAAGGCTGGATTAACCAATTTGTTGCTTCAATACTGTTGGCCGCCACTGGAAGAAGACTTGCTCAAATTTAGCTGACTAGACACACACAAGCAGATACAAATTTTGCTTACAATCTGGTGTACTCTAAGGACTGTGGAGTAAGCAAGTGATTACCATACAGTTCTCCAATTTCTCAAGCTATCCTGCGAGCTACAATCTTTGTGTTATCATTTTCCCTGTTGCCTGCGACACAAACCATTCAGACCTGGTTCACACCTAGGCATTTTATTGGGCGGATTCAGTTGTGAAATAACGCACAATACACAAAAACTCATAAAAGTCAATGGCGACAGTTCGCACCTAAGCATTGTGTTGTGCGTGCAATATCGCCTGTCATGCAAAAAGATGCAGGAGCTCTTTTCCCCATGCATTAAGAACCGTAATATTCCTAGGGGGGCAGTGCAGAGCAATATGTACAAAAGTAAAAATTACAAAAATACTAGAAAGAAAAAGGACATACAGAAATGTGCCTAATTGTGATGAAGTAAAAAGGGAGAAAAACAAAAACCCAAAATATACTTTACCTTTTGGGCAGTATGATTTATTCTGCCGGTGGGAACACAGTGAAGTTCAAGCAATCTGGATTGTTTAGGACTGGCTCTGTATGTATTACAATGTTCATTTTCAGGCTACTCAATTTATAGAGATGTGAATGAGGGTGGACTGTAACCCGTTGGCCAATCAACTTTGGTGCAGTTACCTCAACTGCTTTAAGAAAGGGGTTTCTCTCCTGAATTGGCCATACATTATATTGATCCGGTTCTGTTGGCTGGGTCAGGGTTAGGATTTACGAGCACATCATCCTAATCCCTATCATTGCAGCAATTCCAAACACAATATAACCATTATCCCTAGGGTGTTCCATGTGCCAGAATATACCATTTTGCATCTGCATGTAGCTCAAAATGTGTACTATCAGAAATAATAAGTTTCATCTCTCTACTACTAATATTGTGGATGATATTGAGCACAATCCTTCTGATCTTTGGAAAATTAACAATTGTAGACAATGTGGAGTATCAGTGTGTACAGAATGCTTGCCCC